CCGGTCAAAGATGGACCTTTGCTTTCGAAGATGAACGTCAATAAAGAAAATATACGATAATTTTTGTCAAATAAAGGGATCATTTCCAATACCCAACCCATAAAATTAGAATCCATTTTCTTTTGTTTTTAAATTTATTTTATCATTATTTTATTATTTTTTTAAATTTTACCATCTCTTTTATATATATATATATATATATATAATCATCTTACACTAATATAAATTTAAATATTATTATATTTAATTTGAATCTTTTATTTAATTTATATTTAATAAATTATAATTTATTATTTTATTTATATATATATATTTCAAAATTGCGAAATGGGGACAAGCAAAAAGGGTACATGATGAATTTGACTTCGTTGTCGGTCCTAGTTAAATTTTCATGCAATGATTGTTCATATGATTCCACGTTTTATATCTTCCTTAATCTTCTTTTTGATGCCCTTTTTGGTTGTCGTTATTTTATGACTTTGTTTTGCTAGGACAGGTGGATTGAACGAATAGTTAGTTAGCGCTTCGCATGCATATTACAGTTCCATGTTGTTTGGTGATGCAGATTCGGTGGCACAGCATAGGTGCCCCATAAGGTCCTACAGCACAGCATAGAAACAAGATTCAACACTTGTCAATGGGGTTGCTACTATCCCTTATTATAATGGTTAATGCAAAGTTGGTAAACTAAGAGTAATGAGAAGGACACAGTTTGCTTAATAATTGAAGTCTGTTAATATGTTGTGTACTATCAGTGACGCTGGTTCGTTTGTGAGTACGAGTTTTTTTAATTAAAACGTAAATTTAAAGACAAATAATAAAAGTTTTATATAATTAAAAAATTTGTAAAATAACATAAAATTTAATATAATAATAATAATAATATTAAATGTTATAATCAATAGAAATTTATTTTTTATTATCTTTAATTGCATATTTTAAATATAGATTAAAAAGTTGTTTGAAAATTTAATAATCAATATATATGTGAAATTACTTTTTTTGTCCTTTATATTTAAGATAAAATTTATTTTCATTTTTTAACTTCTTTTTTTTTATTCATTTTCGTTTTCAATATATTTTTTTTTTCACTTCAATCTTTTCTGTTAACTTTGTTACATAATCTAACAGAGATATTTTAGTGGTGCTGAAGTGACTTAATACTATTTATTTAATTATATATGAAGTTTTTATTTAAAAAATAATTAAAAAATGCAAATTTCCCACTTCTCTTTTATCTTCTCACAACTACTCCACCTCTTTCCTTCCAAATCCCTAATCCACTAGCTTTACCTCCCCTCTCATAGCATCTTTTCTCCTTCTCCCCGCTTTCCTTCTCCTTTTTGACAGTTCTGTCACATTTTTTTTCTTAACCCACTAGTCTTGTTTTCCCCTCTTGTAGCCATCATTTTCTCTCCTAACTTTTTCTCTCCTTTTTCACAGCTCCGCCATCCCTCCCCTCCAATCCACCCGGCTTGATTCTTCCTCCCGTAGTCTTCGTTTCCCCTTCTCGCAAGTGAAGTGCTATTAGCAATATAAATAAATACCAAAATAATGGGAGATTCATATTTTATAATTTTTTTTAAAGAATTATACATAAAAAGTAATGAAATTTAGAGTTTTATGCAAATCTAAAACAACCCAATAAGTAATAAAGTGAAAAATTGTAAGTTTTAAACGCAGAGAGAAAGAAAAGGAGCAAAATAGATGTATTCTGTAAATCAAATTTATAGTTGATAATTGAGCATGGGTTAATATTTTGCTAATTTATTCTGTAAACTAAATGATTGACTGAATGTTTGAAATAAAATTTTGGGAATAATTTTTTATTGAGTTAGGAAAAAGGAGGGAGACAAGACTATAAGTGTAAGATGAATATACTTCTCAACATGATGGGTAGACTTTTTTTTATATCTAAAATGACAATTAGGAGGCTGAATCTAAGAATTTTTTCCAAGTAAAATGACAATTAAGAAATCTAACAAAATTATATATTATGATGTAGGAATTCCTCCATTTAGGACAATTTTTTGTAATGTCAATAAAGAAACTAGAATACTAGCAAACTTGTTTATGATGTAGAGATTCCTCTATTGAGACATTCTCGCCATAAACAGTGTTGACGATAATGAATCTAGAGATAAGATGACTACCTAGAAACAAGAAAATATCTCTATCATAAAAAATTTCATCTGTGAGCTAAAAAGAGTTTTCTTTTAGCAAAAAAAATTGATTAATTTAAATTAAAGTTTGCAATAATATCATGACGTGTAATATTAAATAGAACAAAATGTATGTTTCTTCATTTTTTACTGTCATCCAATCTGAATTTGACTTCGCAACCACTTCCCTTGAGCCCCTCCACCAGCTTCATATTGTCCATAACCACCATAAATCTGTCATGGAAGAGTGTTTTGCCCCTTTCACCAAGTTGAAGTTGCTGGATTTAGGTGAGAATTGTTATCGAGAATTGAGAGAGGGATGCTGAGGTGGGACAATCTCTCCACATATATTGATGACTTTCTAATTTAAATTTTTAAGTTGGATTAGTTAATAGCTTTAAGACCATCTCAACACCATCTAAGATATTTCTCTTAAATTATATAACAGAATTAACAGAAAGGATTAACGTAAAAAAAAGAAGTTTGAGGATAAAAAAATAAAATAAAAAATTAGATGACAAAATTAAATTTTATCTTAAAGTTAAAAGATAAAAAGACTAATTTTATCTCTCTCTATATCTGTGCATTATTTTTTAGGCAGCAATATATAAATTTGGGAACAAAACTTGATGATTTTCGTTGGGTTCAATTGAAATTAAAAATCATAATAAAAAATTAATCAATGTTTTAAAATAATATTTTAACAAATATTAAGGCAATTAATTTGATTGAGATGGTGAGCTAAACTATTATTTAAATTATAAAAATAATCGTCTATATAATTATTTTAAAGATAAATACAAAATAATATTATTTTATATTGATGTACAGTTCTAGAATCCACATTAATGTTTATCCTTTTTACTTCATCCAAGACAAATGAAAGAACATTGATTTCTCATCTCTTGATTCTGTGGTCCTTTCATGGTTAGCTTTGTCCAAGAGAGGGAAGAAACGAAGAAAAGGGTGAAGTAATTGACAATTTGTTGAGTAGCGATTCTACCTCCATTTTGTCAAAATTGACCATTTATTCTTTTTTACGAAGAATGTCTAAGCAAGTGTGTAAACACTTAAACATTAACTTAATCGTCATAGATAAAAAAATTTCTCCAGTTTAATTATTTTATATCTATTTTTTAATTAATTTCATCTATTAAATTATAAAATCAAAGGTTAATATGTTGGAAAATGGTCGGAAAGAAAATTTAGGGGAGGATCAAAATTGAAGGATGAAGCAACAGCAGATTTGAATAGAAATGAAAATGTAAAAAAATACAAGTTTAATTGAATTATTTTCATATATTAACGTATATATGATTTTGATTACATTTATTTATTTTTAAATATTTAAATTACATTTTATTATCTAAAATTTTATTTAATAATTAATAATAAAAAAATAATTTTTATTAATTTATATAAATAAATAAAAAATAATACAAAATACTTAAATAAAAAATATAAATAAAATAAAAGTATTAATTTTAAAATTAAAGACTTAATTTGAATATTTAAAAATTTTAAAATTAAATATAAATAATTAAAATTAAGACAAATAAAATTGTTTTATATCAATTAATTTTATATAATATTTATGAAATTTTCTTATAAAGTTCATTATATATAAAAAGAATATTTTTATAAAAATATATTTAAAAATTAGAAATAAGACTAACGAGAGGATATGAGAACGAAAAGTTGTCCTTGAGGATTTGGGCGGCTGAGAGGATATTGCTTATTTTTTCTTTGGTTAAAAGCGTGTTCAGTCACGCAACCAATATCGGTCTTTTCTTTCAATTTCAAAGCTCCATTATTCATTAGTGAAGACAATTTTATGGACTCGTAATTATCCTTTACGCACAAATTAAAAAATTAATCAAATCATAAACCAAAATGGGCTATCAAATCTCCTTTAGTAACTTGAACAACTTTTCTTGGTTCACGTATTATTATTTAATCAAAGAAAAAGATTATCAAATTCATTAGAGCAATCAAATCATCAGAATTTTACGAAACATTTGGTATATATTTCCCCTCACGGAAAAATTTTTATCAGATAAAAATGGGCAAAAGATCTATATTAAAAATTAAAATGAGATCGATTCAGATAAGTGACCGTTAATTTTGGCACAAATCTCGATTTTCATCAACATTTCAGAAAACGCCAATCACACACAGTGGGCAAAATATAAACCATATAATAAAATTAATAAATACTTCCACATTCTATGGCAATTATGAGAATCTGGGAACTTCTGGACTTTGACTCTTTTCTTTCTTTAGGATTCTTATCCTGCTTAATTCGTCAAAGTCTTCACGATCTTCAGAAGAATATAGAATAAAGTAATAAAATAAAAAAATATTATTTGTTAAATGTATAGTTTATAGTTGAATGATTTACCTCACTTTCTAAGGAATTACTTAAAGAAAGAAAAGAACAAAGTCTACGCAAGTGAAAAAGAAAATGTAATCCCACAATTTTGTTCTTTTTCATTTGAATGGATTGGGATAATTCAAATTTGGCCAGTTATTATTATTAATGTATCTTAGAAGAAGCTAAATAACACGACAGCAACAGAGAAGTTCGTACTTGGTAATGGGAGCATCTGATTAAAGGAATAGTGTAGTTAAATGATGATCAAACAACAGTTGGATAATTTTATTTTATATTTTGACAAAGCAATGATTAAAGGAAATATTGGAAAAAGAAAAAAGAAAGGTTTGGAAAGTGCTAGTGAGTGATGTCGACATGATAATGAGAAGCGGGACATACTGGAAATCCACGTGGCTGATCTGTTGTTCCCTCCATAAATATTCGCACAAAACACATCAAATTCCAAATTAACAAGTAAAGTAGAAACACATAACTTTCGGAACGTGTCACAGAATTCTCGCCTTCTCCGAATATGGCATCGCGCGTCAGCATCAACAACTTCACCTCTTCCGCGCCCTATATCAATTCCCCTCACTTTCTGTCACCTGTTAACACTTCTAATCACTCCCTCCAGAACGGTTCGCAAAAGGTCATGCTTCAGAAAAACGTTCTCGTTACCGGTGGCGCCGGTTACATCGGTAGCCACGCCGTTCTTCAGCTCTTGCTCGGAGGTTTTAGGACAGTTGTCGTCGACAACCTCGACAATTCCTCCGAGGTTGCCATCCGCAGAGTTAAGGAGCTCGCCGGGGAATTTGGGAACAACCTCTCCTTTCACAAGGTGCTCATTCCGTTGTCTGTTTCGTTCAATTTCTATTGGTTGCGTGCCTTTTTCCCTTTCAAATTTTGATTTTGCTTGGTGGTTTGCGTTTTTCGGGATTGGGTGATTTTGTCGATTTAGGTTTAAATTTTGTGTTTTGTTCGGGCCGGATTTGTGATAATTCGAGATTGCGGTGGGCCCAAAAGGCTCAAGTTTTGTGCTTTGTGCCGTTTCGCGTAAGCAGACGGCGACAGGGTAATTAAAAATTGGGTGTGTTTTTGAGTAATTGGATTTGGTGCTATGTCGGTTTCGAATTCACCCGAAAAGTTCATGAAGTACTTTTTGATGTGATGTAATTTGGGGCAACGGCAGCTTTATTTTGTTGTTAGATCCATTCCAATTACGTTCTAGACTGTTCTAGTGGTTTCACTGATGCTTAATTTGATTTTACAACTTTTTATTGTTGTTATATATTTTCCTCCCTCAGAGTTAAATTTGAATGTTCTGGTTTTTAACTCAATGGTTATGATTTCTTTTGCATTTATAAGATAAAATTGTTAGCTCGGTTCCTGACTATGGTTATGATGTTTATATACGAATAATAAAATTCAGTTATCACTGCTGGCTTTATATGTGATTTGTTGAATCAACTGTGCATGTCTTATTTGTAAGTATTCTGGCAATGGCAATCATAGATGCCAAGCACTTTAATTACTTAATTTCACGTGTTGTTGTTTAAGTGAAGTGGAGCATATTTGTAATTAGTTTATTATGGTGATGACCGTTTTTTCCCACTGCAGGTGGACCTCCGGGACAGAGCTGCACTAGAGCAAATATTTGTTTCCACACAGTAAGGATTATGACTGAAACTTCTCTCTCTTTCTTTCTTTTTTGGGTGCTAAGAGGAGAGTATGACAGAAGTTTCTGTGATAATATTAAAAAAAATTCTTCCCTTTCTGTTGATGCTACATCATTGATCTTATAACTGTTTATAATCTCTTATTCTTTTCTTGCAGGTTTGATGCTGTCATACATTTTGCTGGACTGAAAGCAGTAGGGGAGAGTGTGCAAAAACCGTTACTATACTACAACAACAACTTGATTGGGACAATCACTCTGTTGGAAGTCATGGCTGCCCATGGATGCAAGAAGGTAAATTCCTTCTTGGTTTTTGGTCCGGCATGATTGACCTTACCTGCATGGAAAGTATAATTATTTTTTTAACTTCTATGGCTCTCCTTTTTATTTTTTATTTTTTTTTATATGGAGTTCCTTCTTAAATCTTATTGCTCAGATATAATTGTCTATATCCAATTAAATTTCCTCAATATTACTTTTATATTGTTTCAAATTTAAGTGAAGCTGTTAACAGCCATGAAGGAAAACTTCTTACTAACATATTCAAATCATTATGCGGCTCTAGTCATTGCTTTTGGTGCTATACCTTTTGTTGTTTTTATATGATGTTTAAGCTCAAGCCTGTAAAGAATACCTTTGTTTGTTCGGAAATTGCCACCACGAGGTGTTTTGTGGTTGATTGTACATTTTATTGTGTCGATGCTGCATTCTGATTCTTTCACTGATTTTGTATTTATTTGAATGAATTCAGCTTGTGTTCTCATCTTCAGCAACCGTATATGGTTGGCCGAAGGAGGTTCCATGTACAGAAGAGTTCCCTCTGTCAGCAATGAACCCATACGGGCGAACTAAGGTATGGCTACGAGTGTTTGTTGGAAAGTGAAATAAAGTTTTGATTTGAATTCCGTGTTTGCCGACTGATTTTAGTGCAAAATATCGTTTAGTATTTGGGAATATTATTTTCATCAAGGAAAATCCCTACCCTTCAAATTACTTGTAATTTTGTTCTCTTTGTCTTTAAAGACTTTATCCTTCTATAAAAAGAGAAAGTTGAATATAAATTATATTAATGTTTGTCTATGAATCTTTGAGTCATATCTGATAAGTTGTTTGGCTTTCAGCTTATCATTGAAGAAATTTGTGGTGATGTCCAACTTGCAGAGCCAGATTGGAAAATAATATTGTTGAGATACTTCAACCCAGTTGGTGCACACCCTAGCGGTTATATTGGGGAGGATCCTCGTGGAATTCCGAACAATCTTATGCCATTTGTTCAGCAAGTAGCAGTTGGCAGACGACCTGCACTGACAGTTTTTGGAAATGATTATAATACAGTTGATGGCACTGGGGTATGTTATATTCTAACTGGCTTTAAATCTTCCACTGAATTTTTCCTTGTAAAGGAAAAAAATTGCATGACCCATGAATTTTTATTGAATCTCATCCTATCCACTGTTTCCTTTGGTTTGGAAAAGTTTTCTTCTTAACAAGCTATACCTCATACATGATCTACACATCTTGATTTGATATTCATATTGTCTCCTCAGTTCCCCTTTTGACTTACCCTGATAAAATTTCTGCTCAAGTAAACTGCTTTCCCTCATTGGATAGTTTCTATTGGGTGCATGCATTTATTTCCCATTTTACAAGATCTACTTTTAATTTCTTCACCAAGGATCTTACTATATAGTTCTTATCATTTTCTCAGGTTCGGGATTACATTCATGTTGTTGATTTAGCAGATGGGCACATTGCTGCATTGCTTAAACTAGATGAACCTAATATAGGTATTATTCCAAATTTTTCTTTATCTTCTAACATTTAACTCTGTCAGTTCTGGTGAATCTGAGGCAGTAACTGTGGTAAATTTATAGTGGCAAAATTTTATTCTAATTTTTGTGGTTTGTGTTTACAGGTTGTGAGGTTTACAACCTGGGAACAGGAAAGGGAACATCTGTTTTAGAGATGGTTAAAGCTTTTGAAAAGGCATCTGGAAAGGTAATAGAATCGTGTTTCTTTTTCTGGTCTTCTCCTTGCCATCAACTTTAATGTCTCGTTCTGTTTCCCCCCCTTCTTCGTGATGGAGAGTTTTAAATTTTGCTGAGAATATACTTAATGTAGTGCTTCATGTGCATTCTCAATTCAGTTTAGTGCTGTGTGCTCAGCAATCTTGTCATTTTGCAGTTTGGTGTTACCCTGCTTGGGCCCTAATATAAACTTTGTTCTTGAAACTGTAATCTAAATTGGTTGCTCTAACTTAAGTTGCCACCCTTTGCTCAATGGAATGCAATAGAGACACGATAAATTAGTAAAGGAATGTTTTATGACCCAAATGATTTCCCTCAGATTGGTTGTCCAACATATATTCACTTTTCCTTTTCATGTTTAGTTTGTTTATATTACTAAAACCTTGAACATCTTGAACCGATTCATTTTATTTGGATTTAGCTATTCTATAGGGCATGAATAATTGATTCATACGATTATTCATTTGTTTAGACAATTCCACTTATGATGGCTGGCCGTAGACCTGGTGATGCTGAAATTGTGTATGCATCAACAAAGAAAGCAGAAAGAGAGCTTAAATGGAAGTAAGTGTTAATCAATATAAAGGTTCATGACATTTAACTGATCTTTAGGCTTTCTTATTGTATTATGAAACATCTTCATGTTACCGATGAATTCAGGTTGAAGTTGTGTAATAAATACTTCCATGCACTTTTTACCTGTTACTTCTCTTATGTCCTTAATAGTATTTTTGTCTCTTGCGTGACAGGGCAAAATTTGGCATTGATGAGATGTGTCGTGATCAATGGAATTGGGCTAGCAAAAACCCTTATGGCTATGGAGATCAAGACTCCACCGATTAACTATTAAATACACAACATAGTGTTTTCTTTTAGTTTCTTTTCTGAACCCTGCCACACTGTAGGTCTTGTGAATTTAGTTTTCCCAAAAGCTTTTGTGATTCTAAGGTGACAAAGTACTTGTATTATTATTATGATTTATAGTTACCCGGTAAATAAGTAGTAGTTTACTATTCTGTAATTTAAAGGTTCTCTAGGTTCTTTCTTAGATATTATTGGTTAATAGATACGGATTCTCTCATGTTCCTCATGAGCAGCGTCCTGTTTTGTAAATCTAAACCACATATTTTGTTTAAAGTGTGATTAACACACATGCATACCTCATTATCCAGATTATAGTTTTCATATTTCAATGTTAGTTTTAGCATCATATGAAATTTTGAATTAAATTATTTCCCGTTTGTGGACAAGTAATTTTCTGCAGTTGCCAATTCACTATGACATTCCTATTTCTGACAATTATACGGAATCAGAAGTAACTTGTTCTTATTAGAACAACTTTTTTGTTTAAGCGTAGTGTGACATACTCGTACAAACTTTGTGTGGTGTTTATAAAGTGAGCAATATGTTGATGGAAACTTTAATTTAGGTTGGTACAACAGTTAATATGATAAATATTACCAGGTTGAAACTTGAATCAAAATTAATGAGGTAATGGAAAAATGTCCGTTAATTAAAGATTGGATAGTTAAAAATAAAAGATTGAAAATTGATGATATAAGAAAAATTTATAAAAGGATAAATATGTAATTTTATGTTTAGTTTTGTATTCTTTCTTTATTATCTTTTTTTTTTTTTTTTTATTCTCATGTAAGTGATAAGATATGAATTTGGTAGTCTATATTTTACCCCATCCTCTCAAAATGTGAAGATTTCAGTCTTTTTTGAATTTTGGTTGATCATATATAGATTTGTATGATGAAATTAACATATAATCTGTATAAATCTAAAATGTTTAAATATTATGTATATTCATGAGTTAATGATGTTAAAATTAACAAATTATAAAATTTGTGATGCAGTTGTATATTGGTTATCTCTAAATAATTAATATACAAAGTAAATTATGAATAAAAAATTAGATTTTATATAAATCTATAAAGTAATGTTTTTTTTTATAAATATATCGATTTGTGATGGAGTTGTATATTGGTTATCTCTAAATAATTAATATACAAAGTAAATTATGAATAAAAAATTAGATTTTATATAAATCTATAAAGTAATGTTTTTTTTTTTAAATATATCGATTTTATGAGAAACAATGTATAAAGTAAGTATTTTTAATATTATATGTACATTAATTTTGTGAGACAATTATATTGATATTATTAATTTATAATAAAATATGAGATTATACGTCGATTATTTTAGATGAGTGACTTAAAAGTTACAATATTTTAATAAAAGAATTATATCTACATCTAATGGTGGTGAGGATCGATGTAGAAGGATAGAAAGCAAGAAAGCGTAGTTTCTAAAGCTATTAGTCATAGAATTGATGTTGATAGTGTTTCTTTATTTGATAATGTTTTAAGTAAAGGACATAAATGTAATTTGAATTGCAGTTGGTATAGTGATAATGTTTTGTTTTATTTGTGTATGGTGTTTTAGTTGACATGCAGTTGGATTAATTCACATAAAACATAAAATCGTCCACCTTTTTTATAGTTATTGTAAGTGTTGTCAAAGAAGCAGAAGGAAGAAAGAAACCCTAGACTTTAGCAGGTGAGCTTTGGACATTATATTTTAAGGTTTTACTATAAAGAAGATCAACAACAAACCTGTTGAAGACCATTGAAAAAAAAGTTAGTTTATTCTTCCTTCTTGATGATGAAAATCTAGGTTTTTGAAGAATTTTGTGTAAAGTTATTTTGTAATGTACACAAATGATTGTGCACATAACCATATGGATTCATTTGTTACACAAGTTAAACTATTTTGTGCTTTATTAGTTTAGTTATTTGTGAAATGTATGATATGATGTATCGACATGGCATTAGCCATTGTGATTAAAGAGTTATTAAGTTACAAAAATAACGATTAATGAATTAATCAGTTGTAACAATAACATGTGGCGTCTCCTTCTGAAGTTATTAATATGAGTATTTGGTTTGAACGATTTCTATTTTGTGTTAGTAACTATGTTATAGCATAAACCAAATAATTTACATGTGGGTGAGCCAACATTCGTTTATCATTTTTACAAAATATCAACAACCAGTGTAAACAAATTAAAATTTCATTGAAGTTTATGCAATGTTGGTTTATGGTGTTCAATTTGTGTAAATAAATTAGATATTAGACATGTCTGTGTTAGATGTAATATAATTGGTTTTATGATGTTATGTTAAGTAGTATTATGTGTGTGTGTGTGAGAGAGAGCTATTTTTAGAACTATAAAGGATAGAATATGGTTGGTGGTTTATGCCATTTTATGTGAGGAGATCATATATGCTATCGGTTTTACTTAGATTATTATCATTAATTATGAATTTAGTATTGAATTAATGTGTATCGAAGTAATATTGACTAACCTTGTATCATGTTTGCTAATATTATGATGTCATTGATGCATGCTTTTTCTGACAACCAATGCAGCAACCTGAATGGTGTTCCTTGGCACGGGGTGGGTCAAAACCATAAAGTGCAATTCGTCTAAAAAGGCAACTAGTTCCAACATAGACTGGCCCTTGAAGTCCATCAAGGGCTCGCATATTGACATCAAAGAAGACTGTGTTATGATTAGCATATCTATCAGAGGGATCAATCCCTTCAAACCTTTGTGGGAACTGAACATAGCAAATTCGGTCACCTCCACAATCCATCATGAAGCACATGCCTTCTCTCATTGCTTTTGAGTTGTAGATATAGTGGTCATAGTCAAGATTGAATATAAAAGGACCATTCGACATTATAGCTGATGCTCGAACCAAGGCATTCATGGCCCCTGCCTTTTTGTTGTGATCATAGCCAGGACGCTTCTCTCGGGAAACATAGACAAGAAGTGGAAGACGGATATCAACATCAGTCAGGTCAATGAGCTTTGTATCATCAGCACTTCCAAGAAGAGGTTCATCACTGGGAGGTTTCAACATCACCTGTATCATTCATGAAGAACCAATTATTCATCACCACTCATCTCTAATATTAATCTAACACTTGGAACAAAACTTTATAAGGGAGCAATCTAGTACCTGAATCATATCGGCATGGTCACCCTTAGAGTGCTCAAATGCAGGACTCAACCAAGTTCCTGGCCAATGAGTCCCATCAGCCATCCATGTTGCTTTTGGAATCTTTACAACTTCTAAAGGTTCATCTTCCCTGATTTGTCTATGAGCTTTCATGGCCTTGATTTCCTCACTTGCATGATAGACATCTGACTGGCGATGGATAGAATCAGGCAGACTATTGATCCTAACCTTGAACTCATCATACTCACACTTCACCCATCTATGATCCTTGACAAAATCTGGCCACATTTTTTTTTTGTTTTTTGTAAGGATCTCTTTTCAGGTTGAAGTATGATTCAGGATTCTTAGGCTCTATATCATGTTTCTGACAGAAAGGAACCCATACATTAGCAAAGCTGGCAGCTTCAGCCATTGCCTCAAAAGTTAGAAGTGCGCCTCCATCATAAAAAACATAGTAAGAAAGCTTCTCAACAGGGTAATTAGCAGCTAAAATAGACAAGATGGTGTTTACAGTGACAAGAGACAGTTCTTTTTCAGGATCAACTGTAGAAACAAAGACATCTATGCCTGGAAGATCAGACTTTTCAGTCAAATTGTTACGAGTTGGTGTTTCAAATTTCTCCTTCAGAACATTAAGATCTGTGGAACGATTTACTGGGCATAGTTTGGGCAGTTGATCCAACAACCACGAAAAAGAAAACCATAATTCACAAACAACAGACATACTCCATAGCCATTCTGTATCAGTATTTTTATGTTTGATCCTCCATGTCAGGAACAGTCCCAAGACAACTAAACGAATAAAAATAATAAGTCTGCAAAAACATATGCAAAAAGAAAAGAACTTGTCAGATAATGTGCGTGAATAATGTAATGCACATTACTTTTCAAGTTCAAAACAACTATACATGATACAAAATAGTCATAAGCAATCTTAATAAGCACACGTGACGTCAAAAAGTGTAAAGAGAACATTAATTTACGTCAAATTTAACCACAAAAAGACTCTCATACACACGTATAAAATGCAAACTAAAAGAATGGGCTGCTTGAACAAAGGAATAGAGCCAAGTCAATATTATTGCCGATTTTATGTAAACTAAATTTAATAATTAATAAAAAATTAAATCCCATGAATATTTTAAACTATTATCTATTATCTATAAGGATTTAGACATATATATTAATCATGATAAGTTGCATTCAAATAGGGTGAAAATATAAGATGCCAAATGGCCATTCACAACAATGAGGCTATGCATTGTTATTGTTTAAGTATAATAAATGAAAAAGGCTCATAAAAAAAGTAGTATTTTAAAACTAAAAGCTTTAATACCGATATGGCCTCAAAATAGCAACAGGTATCTTTTTCCTTGTAAGTGGTCTCCAGGTCTGTTCCTCAATTCAGTTGGATCAACAGCATCATCCTTTTTTTCATTACCAAAACCCCTTTCATTTAGAGATATAACATTGCCATAGCCATAGGTTTCCTTTATTTCAAAGAGGCACCTGTTATGATCAAAGTTTCTAATTTGGCTTCTCATCAATGTTGACTTCATCGAGGATAATCTCATCTTCATTTTAGACATTTTACTCTGTGGAGCAAGTAGGAGCGGACGTCCAGTTTTTAAATTCCGGAGTTGAATAGTAAAATGTGTAAGATTTTAGGGTTTGTGTCAACCACACGATACAGATCGGAGCAAAAATTGGTGGGGAGTGAAATCGCAGTTTGGGTCGTAAAATCAGTTAAATCCCGATTTGCTTTCAATTTCAGTAATATGCGGGTGGGATGTATGGATTTCGACCCAAAACTTTTATAACTCAAGCCCAACCTAACAATTTTAGTTTTTATATTATAATCTATTTTTATAATAAAGGTTATATTTAATTGATAATAATTATTTAATACAATAGCTAATATTAATTTAAAAAACAGTATTTAACAATTCAAAAAAATTTACTTAATTCTAACATTAAAAAATTATTAATAAGTTATTCTATATTTTCAATTAATTTAATAATTACTATAATACTTAATTATAATTACTCTCTATTAAATTTAAATTACATTTAATAAATTAATTAATAAAAAAATTAAAACTAAAAATTATTAAAATATTATAACAACGGTAATTAAAATATTAAAAATTAATCTAAAATTTAGTTAGTATATTACATAATCACT